AATATCTTACATATTCCAAGGGGGGGAAGGTGGACTGCAGCCTGTATCGATGTTGTCAAACTTCACTGATCCTAGTTGAATATTCTCCTGTGCTCTTCAACAGGTTTTTGTTTCCCAATAAATTATATGTAAGATTTTTTATAATATTTTAAAATACAGAATATTTTTAATGTTTTAACTGTTAAATTTTTTATTAAACATATAAAAATTACTATTTAAAATTGGTTAAAAAGTTCGAAATATCTGATACTTCGGAACACCAAATAATGTATGATACAGGGCAATGGGAGAAAGGAGAAGAAAATGGAGACAAGGAGAAGGGTGTGAAAAAATGAAAAGTAAAATGGTTTTGGATTTGCTTTTTTTTTTTTTTTTTCTCTTTTTTTTTGGGGGACAAGAAAATGGTTTTGGATGGAGTGACGTGCATGGGAGAGTTTAATTAATAAATTAATGAAACGTAAAAACATTTTGGAGTGGGGTTGTTACAACTAGCTTTGTTTTCTAATCTTTAGCTTTTTTGGTTTTACTTGTTCGATTAGATGCCAAGTAAACATTGGATTAGAAATAAAGAGGAGACTACACTTGGAGGCATAAGATTTGAACTCCTCTTTCACTTACGCTCACCCTAATTAATCATGGCATTTGGAATGAATATGCGATTCTTCTTCCATATATGTAGTGCACTTGTAGATGACATGAACTTTCACATGAGTATGCAAAACCTAAAAATGGAAAAGGGCACCGCGTTCTCAAGGTTAAGTCACAGGCGCTTGAATCTTAAAATCTCATATTTCATCTTCAAGTTTTTCACTCAAACACACCCTACCAATGATCATTAGGCCTTTATGTGTTATCTATACCATATATTAAGAGAACACACTTTGTCAACCTTTTTGCCAGCTTTTTTCAATTTTGCCTCTCACTTTTGAATACACAATTTTGAGATGAGGAGGGCAAAATAGTAATTTTGTATCTTTTGACAAAATGACAATCATATCCCCTTTTTTCTTATTTTGCCCTCACTTTTGATACATAATATTTACATAAAGAGGGTAAAATAGTAATTTTGTATCAAAATATTTACATAAGATAAAAATATGCACTTATTAAGAGAAATTATCTCACCATCATTTTTTTTATACAGGTAAGTGAAATCATGATTTTTTTTTTTATAGTTTGAATGAACTGAAGCGGTTGCGCTTGAAGAGAACATGGGACGAGGTGGGCGGTTGTTCACATACAAAGTGTGTGCTCTTTGCTATATTTATATAAAAGTACATTCTCTCCGGCGTCGCAATAAAACTATCTTTATGTTAACATTTTCAACACAACTCAATAATAGGGAGAGGTATTGTATTCCATGAGATTGCTTGTTGCTATTCTTATTCCTTTGTTTATTAACGTGCAAGTGTTGAGTGTATGGGTCAATCTTTATATATTAGATCAACAACTTTACACAACCATGGAATATATTTGAGCACAAAATCCAGCTGTGCACGTCTTGACTTTAAGGAGCAAAATCATCCATAATCCATTCCCTAATCCAGAAATTATCTTAGACACAACTTGTAATATCGCATCTAATGCCAAATGGAATGTAACATCACCATTCTGATTTGGAAAAAGATAATCGATGGGATTTTAATTAGTTCGTCCAGCAATGCATAGATTCCATTAGACATGCATGATTAATTTAGGTACGTGTGGACCCTAAGTTCGTAGTTAGAGGCTAAAGTGTGTGCATGTCACGTTCTTAAGCAGTTGGGTTGCACTCTACCACGAAAACAGTCTCATTCATCCTATATGATTCTGAGCCAAGCATATCTAGCTTCAAGGATATGCATGGTCACATTCACTACCATTTGGCGTGAGCTTTAAGGGACCGCGACAACTTCAGGACGAAGGGTGACCTCTCCCTTGCTTGTATGGGTCTACCTTATCACCGACGTATGTGAGAGACTGTCAATTGTTGAGTGACAAAGATTTTATAGTAATTCTCACAAGTTTGCGAGAAATTGACTATAATTGTTCGATGTTGGTTCTGTAAGTAAGTCGAACATTGTTAAAGAAGCTTTAATAAAAAGGGTTTAAATTTTTCTTCGGTACTTCGTACTTGGAAGGTATTTTTTTTTCTTTATTTTTCTGTAATTAAAGTGTATATTTTTGAACTGATAGTTCATGCTACGAGGACTTCTCTTTTTTTTTTTTTTTTTTTTAATTAGTTAGTTCAACATTTAAATTTTGTAGAGTCATTAGAACAACCAATTTGCTTTTTCTGCTCCACGATCTCCCGAAACAAGAACCTAACACATGATTTATTGATAGTAAGCGGATTAAATAAATGGACCATAGACTCCCATTGCCCTTCAAAAAGGTAAACTTCTTTAATATTTCTGTAAATCGTATTTGTGATATCACTCATCCAGCCCGCGTGGCTAAAAGCCGTACTTTAATATGATATGATCCCGAGCCATCATGCGGGGATCTACTAACCAATGCAACCAGTAGGGGTTTTGTAGAAGGGATAATTTGATATAGATCCAATTTTGTGAGCCATTAGTACAATTAGTCCACTGCATTGAAATAGGTCCAATAATTGATATTCCACGTAAGCTTATTTATAATTTGTACCATATTTATCCCTTAGACTTATAAATTGTAGTAAATATTCAAAATTTCTTAATTATATGATTATTTGTGGTTTAACTTATCCCTTAATTGTAGGATTAGTTATAGCAATAAAATCTCAACCCCCGGTCCGTTTCATCCCTCCTTTTTTTTTCCTTCATCTAAACAATTCTCTTTGTTAGATCATGGAATCAATCATCCTCTTTCTTCTCTCATCTTTCATGGGTGATAGTTTGTGTTCCTCCCTCCAAATTCCTTCATGACAATTTCAATTTTTATATAGCTTTCACAATTTTTTTTTACATATTCGTTTAGCAATACAGTATCAATTGCAAGCAATAATACAGTATCATGCATTATATTTGCTCTATTATATTTTTGTGCGTATCATAAAGGTAAACTGAAACTTAGTATTTGTTCCTTTTTTTTTTGTTTAGTACTTGTTCCTTTAATGGAGGTATATTATATCATATTTCTATTCTAATGTTTGCCATGGAGGTTCAGCATTTTTCTTCCTATACAATAGGTAGTTTATTTTTATTTTGTTGGTAGATTATATCTATTTTGTAGGTATAAAGCATTTTTCTTCCTATACAATAGGTAGTTTATTTTTGTTTTGTAGGTAGATTACATCTGTTTTGTTGGTATAAAGTATTTTTCTTCCTATACAATAGGTAGTTACTAAATTATATCGGTTTTGTAGGTAAACATCATTAGGTGGTTACTAGATAATATTTTAGTTAGTATTTAAATATTCAAAATTAAAAACTGAATAAATGATACAAAAATTAAAGAATTTAAATATTTTTATCTAAAAGGGCAAAATTAGTATAAAAATATGTAATTGGATAACTGGACTTAGTTAAAAAACTACCTTTATTTTTGGACCTAGATCGAAAAACCCCTTTGTAGAATGATAGGTTACTATCTTCCTTCAGTCTTTCGTTTGTCTTCCGATACGTTGAAGCACCTTTTCTACCTTGGGTGATACCAATCCGCCCTAGAGACGAGACTAATCTACTCCAAAAGAGTGCCCCATTAAAACCGAGAATTGCAGAAATGAAGAAAATAAATAGAAAATGAAAGAAGACCGCATAAATGGTTCAAGGAAAACGTGCCCCTAAGTTCACCTTCATGTTTGTTGAGATATTTTCAGTGATAAATGTTGAATAAATCCAAGTGGCTAGTAGGACTTGGGAATGAATTGACAGAGAAACTTGAGAAGTCCCCCTAATCTAATAAATAGGCCTCATAATGATCTTTTGCACGGTCCATACAAATTTGAAAATTTCTGGGTTCTAAAGACTAATGGACCACCTGTGGAGGCTTCATCAAACATTATCTTATCCACTACCTGAAAGGCCTTGCTTGAATATGGAGTGACCTAATTTAGCCTAGGTATCCATCAAAGCATTTCGACCCTTAAAAAGCTTCTCGGATAACAGGTATTCAATTCCTCCTAAGTGAATAGTAATTACCTTTAGTGAACAATAACTGCTCAAGTGCATATCCATCCGTAAACTGAATTGCTCAGATAATTCGTATTAAAATATTATTAAATGTTTTTATAAAATAATAAAAGATAATTTTATTTTTAATTTCGGATGATAATAAAAGATTGGTTGAAAGTATTTGAAAATATTGAGATGTGGTGTAAGGTGGAGGAACATGGTTAGGTATTTATATAAAAAAATTCTTTGTATTTTTAATTAAATTTTATGATTTTTTAATTGTAACTGACGTCAACCTTGCGTCACGACCTAAGAACTAGGCTAGTCGATTTTAGTTTGAGTGAGCAACTAGGCTCCCCTAGAGCCCACTAGATTGGGATGGGGTGGAGGAGTTTTGGGGGGAGGGAGGGATTTAATCAAAACAAATATAGATTCTGACTTTAAGATAGCAAGTTTAAACTAAATGAAATATTAAAATGTCCATGACTACTTTGAAATCACCTTTGACATGTGAACTCCGTCACAAACGGCCTATTTGCAAGTTTTAATTCATATTTGAAAAAAAGAGAGTTTGTAATTCATAAACAAATAATAACACTGAATAATGCTAGACAGACTAATTTTTTAGACCAATTTTTCAAACTACATTTTTAAATTATGTAATGTGTCACGTATAGAAAAAACACATGTTCATGAATACTTAAGTAGTAATCCAATCATAAAAAACTATATCATATATTATTTCAAAATTTAATTTAAGTAAAGGTTTCCTAACATTACCAATTGGGCCTTACCCATCGCCGAGAAATCTGCGTTGTTGTGGGGCCTTGGGTGGAAGTGGGATGTGAGCAGGTCTTGCGCCCTCACAATACGACAGACAAATCGTGTCGTATGCATCCTTGCCTGAAAAAACTAGTCTCGTCAAAACGACTTAGGGTAGAGTCGTCTGATTCCTGCAATTTCGATTCCACTGAAACACGAACTCCCTCTGCGCTCTCTGTCTCCGCAGGACACGACCTTTTTCCCACCAAATCCCATCTCAAAGTCTCCGAATTTCGAACGCGAACATGCACGGAGAAGGTCAGCAGCTTCCCTCATACCCAATTTACCCGAGGAAAATCACCGCATGATTTGATAATCTGACCGCGAAACTAATTGTTTCTGTGTGCTTTTGGGTTGCAGACGGGGACCGTCTAAAGGAGAGGATGAAAAGCGACTGCAGGAAGATCATGGAGAGCATCAACGCAATGTGTTTCGAGAACCTGAACGACGAGCAGGTGCACTCGCTGGTGCTGATGCGGGAAATCGCGCGCGGAGTTTTGACCAATCGGGTCGAGAAGGTAACCTCCAGTGACGTCAAAAAGGCCTTGTCTTCGAGCATTGAGAAGATGGTGAGTGATCGGTTTTGTGTTTACTTTTCTGGGTTTTGTTTTATTTTTCTGGGTTTATGTAGTTTTCTCGTTTGATTGATTGTTTTGGGTGTGGCGTGGGTGTGCGGTGGGTTGTAGGTGGATTCTTGTAGGGAGGTGGCAAGCATTTTGGGTGGGATTTCATGTGATGGGTTGGGTACGGAAGATGTCAAAAAGGTGACAAGGATGAAGGAGATTGCAATGGGGATTGTGAGCAAACGACCCAGAGTTGTAACCATGCTGGGTTGTGAGCCTGGTGAACTGGTATGTATATGTCTGTGAGCTACCCTGTTGGTTTTTTTAAAGTTTGTGATTTGTTAGTCTACTTTGTTGTTTTTGACTTGGTTCTTGATCGTGTGGTTGGCTTACTTGATGATTGTTACGCAGGGTGATGGAGCTGAAGATTTTGATATAAGTGAAAAGAATGTGTGGAGTGGAGGGATAGAAAGCGAGTTTAGAAATGAGGATGGGACCCCAAGTGAGTTGGGGAAAGCCCGGTTTATGGGGTAACACACACGTCCAATGGGAATTCCCAGTTGGGAGGACTAGAGTCTGAGAGGACGATTGGTGAAGATATGTATGCAGCAGTGGAAGCAGTTTCCAAAGATGAAGACGGTTGGACAGCGATGGGAGGAAGTGTTGCGGATGCGATGATGAATACTGGCCATGAGGAGCACTTTGGCAGGGTTGAAGGGTTGATGTTCGAAGATGATTGCCTCGTGGTGGTAGCTGATGAGTTTGGGAGTGAAGATTGTCAAGTTGGGGTGCAGAATTCTTTGTCACAGTCAACCCTTCAGCACCCATGTTTGTGGCCTTCAGATGACGGGATAAACTTAGAGTGGGTTTGCGGCATGATGTCTGCTCTTGAGCAGTCACCAGAGAATTTTCAATCAGTGTTGTCAGTTTCTTTGGTGGATAAATTGATTGATACTGCTTCAAGTATCCTTTGCAAGGAGCCAAACTGTGTGGAAGTTGATTGTCATAAAGAGGATTCAAGAGTTGTTGTAGTTGGTGACATTCATGGACAGTTTCGTGATTTACTCCATCTCTTTGAACATGCTGGGTTTCCTCTGACAACCAATTTTATGTTTTCAATGGAAATTATGTTAATAGAGGAGCATCGGGCTTAGATGTGTTTATGGTCTTGTTGGCTTGGAAGGTAACATGAAGATAGTGGTAATTGTATTAACTGATTCTTTTTTCAATCTTTGACCTGTTGGTGTATTTTTATCTGTGAATTGATCCGGTAAGGAAATTTCATAACAATTATTATAACCTTTTATATTGTATATGTTCATGCACCAGCTCCACCGGCCAAGCTGCATGCTAACGCTTTCCATTTATTTTGATGTTTTTGATTATGTGGCCTAAGCAAGTTGAATTGTGATGTTCATTTGGATTTTGAAGCATCTTGGTACGCTTTGGGGATTTTCAAATGATTTTTAATTATTTTTGTTTTGTTTTGTTTTATTATTTTTAGGTCTTGATGCCTTCTAGAGTATATCTACTTCGTGGGAACCAGGAGTCGAAATATTGCACATCTATTTGGGGTTTTGAGGCAGAGGTTAAGGCTAAACTCGGTGATCAAGGTGAATATGTCTATAATAAATGTCTTGACTGCTTTAAAGAGCTCCCTTTGGCTTCGATCATAGCCAATTGTGTATATACCACCCATGGAGGTCTTTTTCGGAGCATGTGTACTACCCCTTCGAGAAGATCCAAAAGAAAGAGGGAAGAAAAGCTGGAACTAGGTTGTTTAGAAGATTTATCTAAAGTTGAAAGATCTCTTATAGATGCTCCAGATGAAGGACCAAATATATTACTGACTGATGTGCTATGGTCTGATCCATCAAAGGAAGATGGTTTAGTTGAAAAAACATTTCGAGAACGGGGTCTTTGGTGGGGTCCTGATTGTACAGAGGCTTTTCTAAAACAATCCAAGTTAAAGGTAATATTTATAAACATAGCCCTTTACTCGAGTTGACATATTTAGAATAAACTTGTCTGTCTGTAATTGGTGTTTCTCGTACTGGATGTCACAATTGAGACTTAGAATCTTAATTACAGACTGGAGAACCAATTTTTGTTACAAAATGACACCCTCTAACATTGAGACAGAATTTAATGGCATATCAAAGCTTTCCCTCGGTTTGGGAAAATATCACTTGTTCCTTTCATCATTCTAAGATTTTTTATTTTGCCTTTGTTGCTATAGTTGATCATTCGATCACATGAAGGCCCAGATGTAAGGGCAGATCAAGATGAATTAGGTGACATGCTAAGTGGGTACAGTTTGGATCATGCTGGAGACTCGGGGAAACTGTACACACTGTTTAGTGCTGCAAATTATTCACAGGTTAGGGTTCCTCGGTCTATCTTATTTTATTTTCACACCTTCATTCCAACATCAACATCAACTTTCAATTATGTTTTAGTTTCCTGATTAAATCTAATTTCTTTTTTATTTCTCTGGAAAGTAACTTAGCAATAATTTTTCATTTTCTAGTAAACTGATGGAGTAGTAGACCTAAGTCATTGGTTTGTCTAAAATGCAGTTCGATAAGAAGAGGTATAACAATGAAGGGGTCTATGCTCTTTTGGAGCCTCCTAATTTTCAATCTCCTTCCTTCCACTCATTCATGGCTGCAGGGAGGCCAAAGGTACAGACCAGACTATTCTTAACATATTATTCCTGGATAGTTTTCTATTTTTGTGAGGGAGAAAAGGAAAAGTTATGGAAAAGAGATTAATATTAGAGAACAATAGGACAACATATGATTTTATTAGAGAATTATGAGGCTTGACGTGGCCCCTTTGCAACTTTGGACCACTTTTCTTGCTGAGAACATGTGCAATACGCATAAATTTGAGTGATGACCAAGAAAAGTTTGCAAAAGCCAAAAAGTCCTAGAATTTTGTGTACTTATACATGAATATAACTAATTATATTTAATTTACTTGATGCAATTTGTTAACAGGTAGATGCTTATGTTGATAATGGTGACAAAGATTTAGTCGTTGTTGGTGAACCAGACTTGGCATCAGTGGTAAGTTAGTTCTTCATTTCATTTTCCATTCTTTTCCTCATTAACAATTTTGATCAATGCATGTTCATGGACTTCAAACATGCTATGTTCCGGTGCTTGAGTGGGATGTTGATATCAAGATGGAATATTCCTTTTCTCAAGATCAAGTCTAACCAATTGACTCTCTGTTGTATATTGTATCTGCAGTCTGCAACTGGTGCCACCTCTTTGTCTCAAACATCTGTTCCCCCTGGTAGTAGCTCTGAGGTTAACTTTGAGGCGTTGGGCATTTCTAATCCCCCTTCTTGCAGTGTTATGGTGCCAGATGATGCAGGTGGCACCCAACTTGTCCAAGTTCCAAAGGCTCCTGTGGTGGAAGGATTGCCCCTGCCTTCTGACTTACAGGTGCTAGATCTTTCAGGTTGCAATTCTTTCTTTAGTAATATCTTATCAAAAATTCTTTCTTTATTAGTAGAGGTCTAAACTTATGGTTTTCGTGCAGGAGCCGCACAAAGCTGCTTATAAGTATTTCTTGGAGCTAATTGCTGGTCTGAAGCATATGATTTCAACAAGGGTGAGTAGGCTTCATATATGTTCCTTGGTCCTTCGTTCTCATAAAAATAATATGTTGTGTCAACTGTCAAGCAGGAAGTTCAGAGTGGGACGAATGAGCCAACCCTGCAAAAGAGAGCTTGGCATCAAATAGAGACGCCACAAGAGGTCAACTTGAAACCTGAGGAGTAGACACAACATGTTATGAATTACTAGAGAGAACAGCCGGCTTTGATGATGTCTAGGTGGCTGGGAGAATAGCTGGTATTCATCTGATTTCTTTTCGAAAGAGAAATGCATAGGTGCAAGATGCAGATTCACAAGTATGATTGATTGGCAACTTGGCAACACTTCTGAAATGAGGTTCCCTGGACAGGTCCTGGCTATCCATCACAATTACTAGACACCCATTACGTTGCTGAACTCAAGCAACCCAAGCTGGTTCACGATACCATCTCTTAATAGCCGAATGGACCACGGCAGGAAGAAGTTGCTTAATCAAGAAGCTACTGCAGGTTGTGAAAGGTGGGTACATTTGGAGTTTTGCCTTTTACTGATCCAAGCAGTGAGCCAGCCAGCAACCACTAGTGTTCTACGGTATGCAAGCAGTTGCTCTGATATCGCCCTTTATGAAGAGCTGGAAAGATAGAGTAAGAACTCGTGGAATTTCGTGCTATTGGGACAACGCCTATTGAAGTCTCCTGCAACAACGAACTTGTTTTGAAGAGCGACTACAAATCTAAGACGATTTGGTTTGTCATGGAGGATGTTGAAACACAATTGACCGGTTCGCTTGATGACTTTGAAACGTCAAAAAATTTATCTTGTAGTGTTAGAGATTAGTCATTGCTCTTAAGTCCATTTTCCTCCTTGGTTGTAAATGATACAGTGGACCGCCTGCCCTCTATGCACAATTGTACAAACAATGCGTACTCACGGCGTTTCAAAGCCGTATAAACTCGTGTTTTACGACGCATCCTACTGCAGTTCCTTTCGCTAGTGTCTTGATTCATCTCATTGTGAACAGTTGTACCTCATGGCCAGATCCAACGTCGAGATTTTCTGTTCTGTTCTTTCAAACATTTAGCACTACCATTTCAAACATGCAACATGATAACCATCTATTCAATCGAAATTTTAACAATCGCAATTTGTAAATGGAGCAATCATCGAAACCTAGGATTGGCGGTTCTGTTAATAAAAATAAGTTGTCCATCTTACACCAAAAAGCACTTCTTTGCAGCTAAATGCATTAGCCACGGTGATACTGGAAGTGCATATCTCATCAGGATACCTCTAAGCTACTGCACCATGAGACTGCATTTCACGAAACAAAACCCTTCAGCATGCTCAGAAATCCTCGGTAACTAGCTGGATCGCTTACTTCACCCGTCCTTGCTAACTGGATCATCCTCCCTCTCTCTTACGTTTCACGGCATTCTTAGCCCTGCCATTTTTAGAATTCCCAACGACATCTGTCAAGCACACATGCACCGTCTTCTTGATTTCATCAAGTAACTCCCCATCTTGGGGGTTCATCTGGTCTCTTGGCAATGTATCAGCTATGCTTGCAATATCTCTCATAGAAGCAGCCTGTAAGACGGAGAAAAGTGAAAACATAGCTCAGAATGATTTTAATGATTATTAAACATCATCGACTTGTAGGAAAAAGAAACATAAACTTACTATTCTCTGAAACTCAGATTCTAAAGATTCAGGTCTCCCCACATATTTGCGGGTAATTCTCTCGTACCAATCCATGTACGTGTTTTCATCAACACCATCGTTACCTTCCAAAATATGGACTCGACGCTCTAACCATTCCTTGATCTCTGAGCGCATTTTTCCTTTGCCCCCCAACTCTACATCCGTGGACAAGTCTACCCCCTGATCAACTGCAGGAATCTTCCTCTCCCATTTCTGGACATCCTCTGGTATATGTTGAAGCATGCCAAACTGCCTGAGGCAGCGATCAGGGAGGTGTCTTTCTGCCTTGCCAAAGCATATCAGGATCGTTTTTGAAGTCCGTAAAATCAGATTGTTTTTTATATCTTCCGGTATAATTGCGTGATCCAAATCTTTGTATGGAAACCACTTAACCTGAATATCAACACCATACCAGTTGTTCTCGTCATCATCCAAGAAAAAGAATATCATATAAACTGAGAAACGTGTAGTTGGACTTACATCAAAAGGTTGAAGCAAATCCAAGGCCTTGCGGTAGGCAACTATGTTGGTTTTCGATCTTGATCCAGTTGATCTCCCTTTCCACCTAAGAGCAAATGGAAAAAAGCCATCGCTCGACTCTTCATTGAACTTCGGTTGGCCAACATTCAGGTGATAGTAACTCCAGCACTACAAAAATAATAACGAACAAAAGTCAATCCTTTATCAGAAAGCCACTGAGGCAGGGAGAGATGTCACGAAACCGAAAAGAAAAAGGAAGCTCAATGTTACCTGCAGTAGCGTCAAAGAGCCACTAATCGTGCCTTGAGATTTAAGGGAGGCATTACCAAGAGCTCTATAGAGGAATGCCAATGCTGCTGCACCCCATGCATATTTTCCAGCTTCTTCAAACTTTTCAAACAGCGGAAGAAATGTAACAGAGACTTTATTTCCAGTGGTTGTGGAAAATATTGTACAACCAACAATATATAGGAGGTAAGCACGAGTGTGGCGCTCAATCTCTTCAATCGGTGCATCTTCAGGACATCTAGAAAAACACTCTCTCAACCAATTTAACTTCATCATTCCCCCATTCAGGTCCTTTGGTGATTTCCCAAGCAAGTCTTCACATACCGAGTTGGGTGTCTTCACCGGTACACCAATAACAGGTTTTCCATCGATTGGTAGCCCAAGTATAAGCGCAACATCCTCAAGCGTTATAGTCATTTCTCCAACAGGCAAATGAAATGTATTTGTTTCTCTCCTCCACCTCTCAACAAGTGCCGATATTAGTGAATTGTCAAGAACAATTGTCGGTATTGATCTGAAGTGTTTAAAACCGGCCTTCTCAACCAACTCAACTTGTTGAGGTATGAGTCTCCATTGCTCAAGCATCGAAGTGTGTTCGTGACATCTAAGCACGCCACGCTCCTATAAATTCCAATCGAGTTATCAGCACTCATAACAATTCGTAATACAGAGGGAAACCAGAATTGTAAAAAGGATTAATGCGAAAAGTTCATGTCTAACCTGTCCATCCCAAATCGCTGAAGAGATATGATTTTCTTGATCATAAAGTACAGACTTATCAACTGGTCCAGGATCTATGTGTGACTCCATTAAACTTACAGTAACATGAATTATCCTAAATTCATGACAATATTAAATTTTGCCTCATAAATTATGCCAATATATACATATATAATAAAAAAAATTCTGTGATGAATGCATACAATATAATTGAAATTATAAGGGTATTTAAATTGAAACCCTTTTTTTGGAATGTAAAAATAATCAATGAATACACCGAATGTGATAAAATTCTAAACTCTTTGGAAAAACAAAATGGAAAAATGAACATCTAAACCACAATTAACAGCTGCCCAGATTATTATGAACTTCAATTTCTAATTTGTTTCGCATATTTTCTCAGGAAACAAACAGAAACCCAAGAAAATTAGAGACGTAAATGGAAGCAGCAAAACAGATTAATCACAAATTAGTTGTGTACCGAAGCTAGGGTTTGCTGAAACGATCAGAAATCATGGAGCACTTGGACGAAGACGACGAGAACCAGAAAACGACGAGGATAGCGGTGTCGTCTAAGTCGTGAAAACTTCACTGGAGATGGCGTCGTACGCTGCCGAAGACCATCCAACGGCGAAGATTGCGGAGTCGTGTGGTTGCGTTATAATAAACGACAATTATCATTTCCGTTTCGTCTTATTAACGTCGACGTACGGATATAAGAAAGCAGAAGAAAAGCCCAAATACCAATCTTTGCAATTTGCAAATTGCAAATTGTAATGTGGATGGATTGACTTGTACCAAGTTGATATGCCATCTCACCCTAATTCTTTTTTTTTTTTTTTTTTGAAAATTTATATGAGTTCAATTTATGTCCCAGTTTTGGGACTAGTTCAATTTTAATTATTTGTTAATTAAATCCAATGACAGTGTCCTTTTTTTTCATTCTAGTGTTACTCTCGATCTTAAAAAGATAATTTCTCCTTAATTTTAACTCATCAACTATGCCCACGTTGTTTTGCCGTTTTCATTTTTTGTACTTGGACTGTACATAGCTACCTATTATATAAACTAATGTTACGTGAGTATAGTTACATAAACTACCTGTGATCATACAAAAAAAAAAAAAAAACAGTTGCAGTTTGAACTTGAATTACAGGCGGTTTGCAAAAACTTCAACCTGAATCGGAGCATAACATAATTCTCATATCTCAAAATTCATAAAAATTGACCCCAAACAGGTACGTAATGTAAAAATTCCACCCAAATAGATATTTATGCATGGCTCCCAAGTACATAATTTCTTTTTACCCATGCATAAACATGTTATTAATATTTAAGAATAATTCAATCATCAACATTCACATCATTTGCATTACAAAATTTAATTTAGAAATTGAGACTAAATTACTCAATAATTAGGTTTTTTTTTTTTTTTTTTTTTGGATCAAGACTTAATAATTAGCTTTAATGATACCCACGAGATTCAATCCCAAAAAAAAAAAAAAAAACTTTAATACCCACGTGCATAGCACGTGTAGACGAACTACTAGACAAAGCCGAATCGAAGTTGGAAGTAGGAAGTTTGGTTGTCCATGGCCATGGAAATCGTAGTCGGAGACCGTACATCAGTTATACTAGAGAGAAGGGTCAGAAGGCTGTGTTTGGACGAGGAAATGCGTATACCACCGACGACCGAACGGTGTCTCGCCGTCACGTCTCTTTCGTTTCTGAGAATAACCAGACAAAGCCCTGCGTTTCGTTTGAGGTTCTGGGAAAGAATCCCATATGGATCCGGAGCAAAAAAGATGGAGAAGTTAGGGTTTTCAGGAGGTCGGAGAAGGGTGAGGTGGCGGCCGGTGATTGGTTCTGTGTGTCTGGGAAGAAACCCGTTTGGTTTAGAGTGGGAAAGGTTGGGGTAGATGAGAGAGAGAATAGGGTTTTGGAGAGTGAGCTTGAGTTGGCTGAGGGTTCGGGAAGTGGGTCTGAATTGGAGAGTCTCGATGTTTCCGGCATTGACCCTGTTAAAGGTTTGGCTTTCTGTTGCTTCAATCTTGTTTGTTTGCTGAGAAAATTGATGAATTGAAGGGAAAAAAAATGATGTCTTGAATGTTTAGGGTGGTTTTTACTTGCTAGTTATCCTTAATTTTTGTTGTGAGAGCGATTATATGACTGAATTTACTGTTGTTTGCTGAGAAATTAGAGGAAAATGAAATTTGAATCTTCTGAATTGGTATTGTTTTGAGAATGCTTGGTGTAAAATACACAAGTTGTAGAAATTATGAAAAGGGTTGTGGTTGGTGTTTTGGGTTTGATTAGCTGCAAGGCACAGAACGGTAATGAAAAATTTGAGGTCACAAAGTTCTGCAGAATTTGATGCTACTTATACTTCCTAGGCCATTGAATGTTTCAGAGATTACTGTGGTGGGTTTGGAATTTAAGAATACAAGAATTGCTATGCCAACAGAAAGCATGAACTCAAGGTTGCCAATCTGTTGTACAAAGGTTATTGATGTTAGCACGAAAAGGTCGCAATTCTTTAATACATTACATGCTGCAGACCAGATTGCGTACATTCGTCTAACTTTATTTGCTTCATAGAAGCGAAGGCAGAGATTTGCGCAGTATATATGATAGTGCACATTTCTTGTCGTTTTTTCTTCTCTATGCATATGGTAGGCCGAAATGCCAATTATGCTTTGCTATGATAATGTCACACTGTTTTGTGATTGCAGAGTTTGGTTTTGTTGTAATGGGGCACGAGTTTGATCACTATCCAAAGAAAATGATCCGTGATGTAAAGAAGTGGAACTGGTTCCTCGAGGAACCTGGAAAAGAAGGTGACGATGATGATGGATTTGAGAGGACGGAGAGGAGGGGTGCGCGGAGAAAGAGGGGAAAAGACAAAGAAAATGAGGATGACGAGTGGACAGGGGAGAGTGAAGCTGATGAAGAGGCTGTTGCAAAACTAAGAAAGGTAAATACACCAAAATATTCTACAAGATCAAAGGCGTGTAGCAAACCTCAGAAGGATGCAAAGAGGGGTAAATGTTCTGCGCACAAGAAGACTCCTGGCGCGGATGAAGAGGGAATGGAAAATGAAGATGATGAAACGCTCGGAGGCTTCATTGTTGTTGAGGAGGACATGGAAGAAGACGAGCTAGAGGAAACAGAAGACGAGGAGGAATTTGTCGAAGATGATGATGAAGAAGAGTAGAGGATTGACACAAGCAAGTTTTGAATGTGAGTAAGATGGGTAGTTGGTTTTACAGTTTCCAAATGTAGCATAGGTACCAAGATTTACGGAATGTTTTGTCTATCTTTTCCTCATATTGGCTGGAGTTAATGTTCCTTTTATGGTTGAATTTTGCAAATTTAAAATGAAACCCAGTTTTTTTTATTTTTTATACAAACGATATTATTTACATTAAAGGGGAGGAGGTTAGGTTAAGCCTCAAGATGGGCTAGCAATAATGTGGTTCAAATTTACCTTTGGCAAGAATCAACCTAAGACCTCTTACTTACAAGTGAAGAGAAACACCATTAGACTGTAGTACTAAGTGGAAGCTCGTCACTCAATCTGAGGGCGCGACATCATCATCCCAGTTTTAGATAAAGAAAGTGAACCTTGGTGAGCGTCATGTGGCAAAATATGAAACCAATGGAAAACCCTTAAAATAATTTCCAAAATGATTCTGGTTTCTTAAAGTAACCATATGACAATTTAACCACTTAAAACTTTTTTCTTCATGATGTTATCACTTAAAGTAAATTTTTGTGACAATCATTTATTGTCAAAAGCGTTTAGAAATTTCGTTGCAAAAAGCCACATATGTCTTGTGATAACTATTTTGTAACATATTGCCACCTAAATTTCTTTAGTATGACATATTACAACTTAACTTCATTGCGCCACACTACCTTTCCAATCACATTGAACAATGGGGGAAAAATTTTGGAAATTTTGTATATTTTTTAGGTCACTACAGAACATGAGAATGATATGAGTTTGTACCGTAGAACATAATATGTAGAGGTGGGTTTAAAATATCGAAAATCGAAAAAAACCAAACCAAACTGAACTGAACACAGCCTAATGATATGATTTTTTACTACAAATGGGCTAAGTTATTAGAAAGAAGCATTGAGCTCAAGTCGAATCTCATAAATTGTTCGGTTGTGGTTGCTTTCCACAATAATTTTAGTTTAAAGTTAAACTGAACCAAACCACACTGCTTAATCATAACTAGTTTGGTTGCAATTTGAGGGACACAACGTATCCAAAATATCACAATGACCACCCCCAAAATATTAATTACTTGAGAAAAGATCTTTTTGATAGTTTAGTTGAGATAAAGAAAAAAAAAAGGCCTGTCAACAATGTTGTCAGTAAAATGTATTAGGTTTGATTTTCGTTAAAAACAAATTTGATCTGTGCTAGTTTTTGTTAAAATAAAAAAATCTGCCAACGACGTCGTAGCAGGAGGTACTGAACCTTTTATGTTGCGAGGTGCGCCGCCCACATTGTGTCGCCAAGGCTTTCAATACAAGTACGTGAAAGTGTAAAATTGAAATTTAAAATTGACGCCCGGCCTCTTCCACGGCGCCGTTTTTCGCGCTAGGGTTCTCTGCAACCACAAAAATCCAATTCCAAGTTCCACCACTCGCGCTCTCACAAACCCTAGCTATTAAGGTAATTAACTGAAAGCCCTAATTTTAGGGTTTCATCAACTATTTCTCTCAGAATTTGAGCTTCCACAATGGCGTAATTGCAAGCTAAGCTAGGGTTTAGTCGCCCTCAAACTGATTCCTTTGCAGGTCAAATTGGCGGAGAAGAAATTAGGGCCTCAGACCCAATGGAAGATTACCCGAACGCAGTCGTTTCGACGACGACCAAATCGCGTACAATGGAAACGAAGAATTTGAGCAACCGCCAGAGCAGGAATTTGAAGAATTTGAGCAGCAGCGGGAGCAACAATCGAACCATAACTTAGATAATGAAGGCAATGAGTTTAGGGATTCGTTCAGTCATCGTGATTCAGCTGCGGGGTTAGTTAGGTTTTGAGCTTTCAAGTTAAAGATTTGATCTTTCTCAGAAATTTTGACTTTTGTGGATATGATTGAGATTAGAATAAGATAGTAACATTTGGGTTTGTTTTGTTATGTGGTAGAAAACTATTTGTAGGAGGCGTTTCTTGGGAGACTACTGAAGGTATTTTGGTTAAGCTTTCAATTTTAGTGGTGCATTGAATTTACTTGAAATTTGAAAAGAACATAGTTTTACATCTTGGGTCATGTTGAGGTCATGGATTGTACATTTTTCTTGTAATCCGATTGGTGATCAGGCCATTTTTTGTGTAAGCTTTTGCTATTGAAAGTGAAATTGAATTTTTGTGTTTGAGATATCGAAGAATTTGGAACCCTCACATGGTTGGGCAATGTTGCGTAACTTTACATCTTATATTTTAGATGTCGGCGCTCTTCTGTGCATAATTTCTACTAGATTAGTTGTTTTTCTTTATTGAGTATGGCTGGCTGGTGTAATTCTGTATGCACCGTTAGAAATTAAGGTGGTGGTTGGGTAAAACTATCCATGCTATGAGTCCTGTTGGGACTTTGGACAGCTTACTTCAGTGGCTAAATGTTGGGGTTGTGATGGAGGAGGAAGGAATTTTGGGTTTGATTTTTAGGGGGTGGTGGAAAGACTGGGCGCCCAAGCAAGAAGGATTTGAACTTCCCAAAACTTCATTGCTGGAGTTTTCTGAAATTTCTCCTGGATGAGAACTATGAAATAGTTTTCGTTTCATAAGTTTCTATTAAATGCTATTGGGAAGTGTCATTGTCTGCTATAATTTCCATTAGTATGTGTTTGTTACTTACTCACGTACGTCTGGCTTTTTGCTAAGTACATCATAGAACATGTTGCACGTCAGGTAAATGATAAGACTATTTTACTAATTTTATGGTCCTGATGCCATTTCGACGTCCTTGTTAAACATCTCTTTCTTTTATCAATAGTATCAGTTCCCCATGTATCCTCACCATTACTAGATAAAGGGGAGACATAGTTGTTCCTTCATGACTAGTTTAACTCAGCGTTTGATGATTTTCCTTTCAGAGAACTTTTCTAATTACTTCAGCAAGTATGGAGAAATAGTTGATTCTGTTATAATGATCGACAAACATACTGGGAAGCCAAGGGGATTTGGTTTTGTGACATTTTCTGATCCAATGGTTATTGATTCAGTATTGGAAGTAGAACATGTCATAGATGGCAGAGTGGTAAATATCTAGTGCCTAATAGTATAATGCCATCGTTTTCCCGAAAATTGAAATGGATTGTTGGATAGTTTTGTCTAACTCAGCTCCTCGATTGGTGAAAAAATATTCTTGTACCAGGTAGAGGTGAAGAGGACAGTCCCCAGGGAGGATATAGGGTTTAAGGGGGCATCGAAAAGAAAGAAGATTTTTGTTGGTGGAATACCAACGTCTTTGACTGATGGTATAGTCGAGACTACTATATATGTTTATTATGATTGTAATGAAATTGTTTTTTGTTTTCATTTTTGACATTATGGTAAACATTGCAGATGAGTTGGGGGAATATTTCTCTGCATATGGCACCATTGTTGAGCACCAGATTATGCTAGATCATAAAACCGGGAGGTCTAGAGGATTTGGGTTTGTCACTTTTGAGAATGAAGATGCTCTTGACAAGATATTTTCTGATGGAAAAGTACATGAACTTGGAGGCAAACAGGTACAACTGAAAAAAAATGATTTGTTTATTTTTTCATGTACGGATTTCGGATGAGATTTTCTGATCTCTTCACCTTAATGTTCAATGTAGGTAGAGATTAAGAAGGCTGAACCTAAAAGGGGTGGTGGCGATTTCAGTGGCAGCTCTGCCAGGTCATATGGTAGCTTAAGTGGTGCTGCAGCTGGTTATGGTGCATATAATTCTGGAAGTCGGCACAACGGAAAAATGGGCAGGGGATATGGTGGGGGTGGGTATGGCCCTTATGGTGCCTACAACAATTACGGTGGAAATTATGCTGGAGGCTATGCAGGTTTCTATGGGGGCTATGGTGGAAATTATGGTGGATATGGATATGGATTTGGGTACGGTGGGCCCATGTATGGCAATGCTGGATATCCAGCCAGTGGTTATGGCATGCCTGCTGGTTATGGTGGCAATACTGCCTATGCAGGTAGTAAAGGGTATGGAAGTGGTGCTGCTGGTCGTGGTGGCCGTGGTGGTAGTAGGGGCGGTGGCAGTTATGGTTCTAGTGGAGGATATGATAGGAGTGATGGAAATGATAGGAGTGGTGGTTCTTCAACTGGAAGATATCATCCATATCAAAAGTGAGGAATTTTAACGAACTTCACACTTTTGTAATCCGCGTCCACCGACTATTGGAACCTCAACACAATTGGCTGTAACTGTGAAAAAGTCACGTATTTCAGTATTTGTTAAAACTGTCGTACCTACGAGAATGATTCATTTGGAAGAGGAAGCAAATGACAACTTAGGCAGCATTAACGGGTCTCCGGTAGGAGGTTTTATAAATGGTTGCACACTCTGTAAAGAAAATTAGTGTGCAGATGAAGTTTTTGCGAGTCAAATAGAAATGCTAGAGTTTATTTACGTCTGACTGTTTAATTCCAGGGTTGATTTTGATTGAAATGTCTTACCAGTTTGTAGTTTTAAAGGATCTTTGTACAATAGAAATATATGGTGTTGGTCTGTGTTATGTGTGGTTTCCCTTTTCTTGAGCCTAGGGTTGGGAGAATGTTAGTGTACACAAGAACTAACATGTTCAAGATTTAGGCTCTCTCTTGAAAAAGTCACATTTAGTTTTCAACCTTTTATTTTATTTGGCTAGTCATGTGATTAGTTTTTTTGTTTTTGTCAAACGAAAGATTTGTTAGATTAGGTGTTAGATTAGTCACCAATGAAATTTGAACCCACGTCGTCATGTAATGGTTTATATCCTTTACACTACTATGGCAAAGGGTCACTTGTCATGTGATCAGCTTTGTATGACATAACTTTTATGAGGTGCCAATAACAGTTTTTCGATTTTTATTATCTCTTAATTGTAAGTTTGTGTCTGCTATCCAGCCTAAAGAATAAGAAATTGACCAACTAGTCTTTTTTTGCTCAATGATAGTTGTCATCATTTTCCCAGAGATCTTGTTTTTGAACGATTACTTTGATTCAAGGACGATATATATTTGCTATGAGTTTGATATCAGGTGTGCTATGACTCATTGTGAAAATATCTTTGTAAACGTCATGTCCTTTAATAAAAACTAAAACACAAAGAATTGATTCCGCTTTTTTTTTTTCTTAATGCAAACTTTTATTTATTTTCGATCTTTAAATTGATAAGTCATGATAACCAATGAATAAAAATAAACAGATGTGTGCATAATGGCTAAAAGAATGTGCGCAAATTATACTACTTAGGACAATATATACAGTTAAATGATGCGTACAAATCAAATTCAGTACCGTATTAACGAGAGAAATTGAAAATTCAGTGTGTGCCTGCGTCTCTCTGTTTATCCAAACAACCAGGCGGCAGGAGATACTGAGCATAGAAATGCGAGCTTTTTCCCACAAACTGACAGACCAGAGTATATAAATTATCTGTTGGGGCCATGTCCTTGTTGGTAAAGACCACCAACTGTTCGCGTTTATCTTCAACCGCCATGGCAGTGTGCTCAAGCTTTTGCCTTCACATTCCAACCCGCCTTACAAAATCATTCCCTGCAAAGCCACACTCTCTCTCTTTCAAGGCTTTCTCTTCTCAAGCATCCAATGCTTCATCCAAAGGTAATTTGTTCATCTGTTTTTATATCTTTTTACTGGGTAATCCTCAAAATTTTCCCAATAATTACTGCTTTTTTTGTTAAATTACGAAGCGTAAATTAACAATTAAACTGAGGATGCAAATGGGTTGTGGGAGATTTTGTGTTTCTAACTTTCAGAGCTGCAAAGATTGAATTGTTGACAGTTGATTTATAATCACACTGAGGGTTAGACAAAATATTGCAGTAATTAATTTTTCTTCATTAATAATTGTAAATCTGCAGTTATATTGAACGTGCAAATGGGGTTGTGGGAGTGGGAGATATGGTGTTGACTATTTATAATCACACTGAATTTTGCAGAATCACTGATGTATTAGTACTATTTGTATTTTTATAAATAATTAATGCAGATGAGTTGCCAGCACGCGTGGGGTTCCTAGGCCTCGGAATTATGGGTTCTCCAATGGCACAGAACCTCATAAAATCTGGGTATGGATTTTCAACATTCATGATGCTCATTCACTCATGCTTGGATGGTTAAGATACAGTCTTCTTTAAGATTGTGTGATTCATCATTTAACTATACAACAACAACAAAGCCTTATCTTACTAAGTAGTGTCGGCTAAATGAATCTTAGAACGCCTCTGCTCTTGGTTTTGAGCCAAGTCTTCCATTAGTTCCAAGTACTCCGTATCTTTTCTTAAAAGTCTTTGTCCAAGTCTTCCTAGGTCTTCTTCTACCCTACCCCGAACTTCTGTCTCATAATTGCATTTTCCAACCGGAAAATCTGTAGGTCTTCGTTTCACATGTCCAAACCACCTTAACTTATTTTCTTTCATCTTATCGTCAATTGTGACCACTCCTACCTTACCTCGGGCCTCGTTCGTAATCCTACCCTTTCTCGTGTGCCCACACCAACGAAGCATTCTCATCTCCGCTACACTCGTTTTTTCTGCACGTGTTGATGCTTGACCTCCCAACATTCTGCTACACTCATTTTTGCATGTGTTGATGCTTGATCTCCACTACACTCATTTTTAACTATATTCTGGAAAAAAAGTTTTGTGTACTAGAATTCTTGTGCACAAAACATTTAACTATTAATTGGTGATATGTTGGATTTGAACTTTATCCCCTCGAGTCCAATCCCTTATTAACTGTTTGGCATTTTGTAGGTGTGATGTGACTGTTTGGAATAGGACCAAAAGCAAATGTGATCCGCTTATCAGCTTAGGTGCAAAGTAAGTACCTAATTACTGGATATGGGATAAGTATTGCTTTGTGCTAACATCTTTTCGAATACCCTTGAGTATTGAGGGATTAAATTTAAACCTTGAAAATATTTGAATGACATTGTTGAGATCTTCAGCTTCACAACATCTCATTCAATGCATTATTGTCTTCACTAGTTGTGTAGAATTCACCCACAACAAAATTGCGTTTCCCTTTCAGATTTTATTTACATTAGCTGTGTGTTCGTAGTTTTCATTATTTTATTTATGTAAACCTGTCAAAGGCCACTAGTGGTCAGTTCAGAGCATCTTGTTAACCTAGAAAGGTTATGCAGATATAAACCCTCTCCTGAGGAAGTGGCTGCATCTTGTGATGTCACATTTGCCATGCTTGCCGACCCTGAAAGTGCTGTGCGTATGTTTTCATTTAGGCTTGTTCTTGCTTACTCTGCTACCGCAGCTGGAGGAACTTATCAGCTGCTTTAACACAGGTTGCTGTTGCTTTGGGGAAGCATGGAGCTGCCAATGGAATGAGTTCAGGAAAAGGGTAATATTTAACTGCATCCCTTTAACTTAAGCATTTTCACAATTGCAAATTTGCTGCTTTTGGCACAATGAACAATATACATGTTCTATGATTTAAAATTTTTTATTTAGGCATTCACAAGTTCTCAGTTCACCTTTCACAAAATACCTTTGGTTTTTCAAATATGTTATTCCAAAGCTGGTCAACTGCGTTTATGTAACTTTATACGGTCATCTGCAGGTATGTGGATGTTTCAACTGTTGATGTTGCAACTTCTAAATTGATTGGCGGAAATATCAAAGCTACTGGGGCATCGTTTTTAGAGGCAAGCTGCTTTTGTTAGTTAATTTCTTATATATATATGCAAGGCATCTATACAATTTCTTTATTTCATTTCAAGCATGTTTAATCCACTATTGGCTCTTTTCCTGTAGGCACCAGTTTCAGGTTCAAAAAAGCCAGCTGAAGATGGGCAACTAATATTTCTTACTGCAGGCATGCAATCTTCTTGTTTTCATTAATGCATTTCTCGGTACCATTTATGCTTGTTCCCATTTTGTGACATACGAAGGGAACCTCTGAGAAACTGAAAAAGCTGATCTTTCAGGTGACAAATCTCTGTATGAAACAGTAGCATCCCTTTTGGATATCATGGGGAAGGTATTGGCTCTTCTCAACCTAGTCATATAGCCATCCAGTTACTTGTCTCTATTCTATGCTTACGTTACACTTCCATCCAGTCAAGATTTTACCTTGGAGAGGTCGGAAATGGTGCTGCTATGAAACTTGTTGTCAACATGATTATGGGAAGGTCATGCAGCGTTTCATTCCAGTTAATTCCTTTTAGTTTGTGCTTGTTATTGATTGCTATCCAGATTATGTGTTCTTTAATAGTTTCTACAATTTTCAGTATGATGGCATCCTTTTCTGAGGGCTTGCTTCTCACTGAGAAAATAGGACTGGACCCGAAAGTACTAGTTGAGGTATTCTCCACAATAAGCCATATCTTAAACCAGATTTTAATCATATAAATATCTCTGTATTTACATCTCCGTCCCATAGCTTTTATTTCATTCAAATAATGGGTTTTGTAGTTTCTGCGATACAAGGTTTTTTTTTTTAATGTCTTCAAGATTTTTGCTCTCTTTGTTAGTTTAGGTGATGTTATGGTTAACAAATTCTAGTATTCTACCCACAAACTTGGGAGGACACAAACATTTATTCCAATTTCACCTATTCATTTCTGTGCCTTGTATTGAAATAACTGGGTTCAAAAGCTCAAATTCTGTTGGGAAAGGAACCGAGGTTATTAAGGCATTCGATGAACCACACAACAGACCAGTTTCTACAGTATATGGCTATGACTTGTGTGGTGAATGATTCTTCTATCTGGGAATGGACTAATGGTGACAGCGTTTAAGCAAAAACATTTCATGTTCTTAATGATTGACACTGACATTATCTCAATGAATCTCAGTTGGGACGAGAAATTTAGTCAAGACAAAAATGATTTCGGTTCTTCAATGCATAGTGATTTGTAATCGAGAATTCGAGATGCAGATTTCTTGCCCAGAATGGAGGATTGATTGGAGAAGCTTTATGAGAGATGCTGTCTTTTCTCTATGTTTTTTCTTTTAGTTATGTTTTCATTTAGGTTTCTTTGAGTAGAGGCCCTTGGAAGCTGTTTGTTCTTCATCCTTTTCTCAGTGCTAAACTTGTTTGTAAGTCCCAGAAAGGGGAAAAAAAGTCCCAAAGAAATCTGAAATCTTTGCATTCCCTTGGTATTGCAGGTCGTCTCACAGGGAGCCATTAGTGCACCAATGTACTCAATGAAAGGCCCATCAATGATTCAATCCGTCTATCCTACCTGCATTTCCATTGAAGCATCAACAGAAGGTTTGTTAAGACGCCTTTATTGCCTTACACAGTTACACTATATAACTCCTTGACCTGATCGTACAAGTTCCCGAATGGTTTCAGGACATGAGGCTTGCTCTGGCATTGGCAGAATCTGTTTCCCAATCTACACCGATTGCAGCAGCTGCAAATGAACTATACAAGGTCGCAAAATCACACGGCCTCAGCGACGAGGACTTTTCAGCGGTCATTGAAGCATTGAAACCGAAAGTTGAAGCACTAGGCACAGTACTTGATATAGTCACTTTTAGAGAAGTAATTAGCGATGTGTGTAATTTGACCCGAGCCGTTTTGTCATTCTATTTTTGCTGAAGAGAAATCGTATCTTACACATTTGGCAACTGGTTTGTTCATCTTTATTTTGTTTTCAATGATTAAGGGCGTGCAGCGAGACTATCTTTTGCAGACCACAGGATGGGGCGGTTGATGATTGGACTCCTTGGTCTCTCAAGCATTTTTCATACATGATGAAGTATTATATTTGACAGACAATTGCATGGGCATTTCACCTGGAATTTCGAGTTCACCAAAATTTTTAAAATGTGTTCGACTACAGTTGATATTAATCATTCTACACATGATAATTTGGTGTGTTTGAAACACAACACTGACATGTCGCGGGATGTTAAGGTTCCGTAAACGTTGAAAGCATGCCCTTTTGAGAACAAGAGAATGTTCTGTAAATCTTCTTGTTCTCTTCGAATCTATGTATTGTAGACCTAAAACAGCATGTCAAATTAAAGTTACGTCAATCCAAATTGCTTAAAAAGTTTAAAACATCAACTTTTGAGATATGAGAGCACCAAATAATCTTTTTAACACGTAAATTTCCAATTCTCAATCACATCAATAAAAAAAATTACATGTTCAATGTATTTAGACTTTAATTGGTATTTAGGTATTCACTAGCATACCTAATAAACGAAGATTACCATATTATTCTGAGAAATATAATTTATCATGTGTGAGAAAATATTTCCTAACTTTAGGCTAAGGAATGGACTTTTTTTAGAAAAACAACTCATTTTCTCTTAGAATCATCTGCACAGATTAGATAAAAAAATCCCATGCATAGATGGAATATGTTATTACTTTTGTTTTTTTGAACAAATAATATCATCGACATTAAAGGGGGAGGAGTGGATTAAGTCTCATAATAAATTAGTAATAATGTAGTTTAAATTCGTCTTTGATGAGAATCAAATCTAAAACCTCACTTATAAGTGAAGAAAAATACCACTTAAACCGTAGTACTAAGTACGAAATATGTTATTACTTTTGTAAAATACAATCTAATGAATCCATCATTTATGATAAAATTCCAACTCTAGGCTGGGAAATGACTTTTTGGACAGTAACACCTCATTTTTCTTTTATAATGCTATGCATAAATGAAAAATGTTATTTTGTTTGACAAGCAAAATCCCGTTGGCATTCCACGTGGTGTTCTAAATTCCTTAAAATTCTAAATTTAAAGTTGAATATTAATAATTTTACGTCTTATAATTTTCATTTACTGAAATATAATAACGGCATGTCACGTGATGTTACCGTTACGTAATAGTAAAGACGCGCATTTTTTAAAACAAAATGTTTCCCAATACAAAACAATAATTTCAAATTATCGTTATAGACATTGGACAATTCCAAATAACTTCACCGCGTGCATATTTACCGCGCTATTTTGTTTAACTGTAATTCAAAATTCATGTTCGATGCATTTCGACTTCAATTGGTAATTACCATACCAATTATCCCCATTATCATTTACCAATTTAGATTGATGCAAATCTTATCTCCCCACCACTATAAATTAGGCCTAACCCTTCCTTCTTCCTCCTCACTAATCACTGATTAGCAGATAATCACAGTGATTTGGCTTCGGTTTAGTTTCTGTGTTTGAGTTTTGTCGTGGCTGTTTCAAACCAACTGACGCCTCTACCTCATTGGTCCGTTACCGTCACGCGCCTCACCTTCGCCATCTCCCTCCCTTTTTCTTGTCCACTTTCCCTCTCTTTTTCTCTAGGGTTTTGCATTTTCTCGGCTCCCAAACACCTCTTTCAAACAATGAGCAGCAACGAGGATAACTTTGACATGGCCGAGCTCGACTCATCCCTCCCCGCCGCCGCCGGCGGTAATCCTTTATCTCACTGTTAAACCCTATTTTCTATGTACTGGGAAATTGTTTGCTTGAATTTTGAATTCTGTTTGGTGAAGCTAAAACCCTAATGCTTTATTCGATATTGTAATCCCATTGGGAAATTGGAATGTGATTTGGGAACTAATTGAAAGCATTTGAATTGAGTTTTGTGGTGAAATTATGAATGTTTACCTTGAATTTGAACAGTTTGTTTGATTTTCTTCTACAGCTCCGAGTGCAGAGGATCGTGATGGCCTTGTGAATGCTCTCAAGGCAAGTATCCTATGCAAGTTTTACATTTTTTTTTTCTCAATAGAATCTCTTTTTGTTGTTCTGATGATGATGAATTGATGATCATATTAAAGTTCAAGTTTCGGTAGCGAAAATAAACACAAGTTCTTATAAAGGCATCCTTTGGTTTGGATTGTGAATGAATTGAGCTTAAGCTCTTGAAACCGAAAATATTTGAACAGATGGTGTTTTTCCTGGTTGTCTTTAAAAGGTCTATTCACTTTTTACTGTGGTATGCCTTTTGTACTTCGGCTGCTATACTTTGTTCAGTTTACTTATTTTTGGTGTCATGTGCAGGATAAGATTCAGAGCATGGCTGGACAGCAGACCGACGTCTTGGAAACTTTGTCACCCATCGTCAGGAAGCGTGTTCAGGTTCTGAGGGAGATACAGGTTGGTCTGCCTTTAAATTTCACCTACATAAGTATTATTCTGAAATTTCTGTACCAATCCTTACAACTTGATGGATAAGTATAACCTAAGATTCAGATAAGTGACATACAATTTCTTTGAGAACAAACTAGAGAATCACTTGAAGTGATTTTGTGCTCAATTATTACGGAGCTCCGTAGTATCCCTAACACATCCATATTTTCCAGAGCCAACATGATGAGATTGAAACAAAATTTTTTGAGGAGAAAGCTGCATTGGAAGCAAAATACCAGAAGCTTTATGGACCTCTCTACACTAAGGTAAAAAATTTCAACAGGCATCTCTAATTACTTTGAGTATGATGTCTTATAGTTAAGAGATCCTTGTATTTGAAATTTAGCCTTAATCGAGGTTTCTGAATTGGCTTTAAATGTGCTGTTATATGCAAGGATGATGTAATGTCTTTCTGGTTAATGTGACGGTTGATTGCAGAGATATGAGATTGTTAATGGTATAACTGAAGTTGAAGGAGTGACAAACGAAGCTGCAATAGACCAAGAAGGAGACGAGGACGTCGAAGGTACCTATCAGATGTCAAATCTTTAATGGCTTTCTTGACTTTCATGCACTACATTTGAGTTTGATGTTGGATTATGTCTTTTGATGTAGACAAAGGAGTGCCTGACTTTTGGCTTACTGCAATGAAGACTAATGACGTACTTTCTGAGGAGGTGGGTGATTCTATAAGCCATTTTTCTATGCTCATTTTTTTAATTAAGTTTGGAAATATGTCAATATGATCAGCTGTTTGCTGGAATAGATTACCGAGCGCGATGAAGGGGCACTCAAGTATCTCAAAGATATCAAGTGGTCTAGGATGGATGATCCAAAAGGATTCAAGCTGGAGTTCTTCTTTGATACTAATCCATATTTCAAAAATTCCATCCTGACAAAAACATATCACATGGTCGACGAGAACGAACCTATTTTGGAGAAGGCTATTGGGTAATTCTCATGACAATAATACATCACGGCTGTTTTACTGATTTTTCCCCTTTGTCCTCGTGTTCTTAAGTTGGAGTGCTGTGCAGGACTGAGATCGAATGGTATCCTGGTAAAAGCTTGACACAGAAGCTTTTGAAGAAGAAGCCAAGAAAGGGATCGAAGAATGCGAAACCCGTGACCAAAACTGAAGATTGTGCAAGCTTCTTTAACTTCTTTAGCCCTCCTGAGGTCCCTAAGGAGGACGAGGATCTTGATGAAGAGTCTGTAAGTTTGACTTCTTTCGTGACATGTTTGATGATTATATAAGCAAATTTCTTACTTTCTTTGATGTTTACGGTGGCAGGCGGAAGAACTCCAAGCTCAGATGGAACAGGATTATGACATTGGGTACGTTAATGATTTCTTTTGCTTCGATTCTCTAATGCACATACAGTGTATTTTTTGAGACCTTTTGAAAGGCAGTACACTACAGCGAAACAATAAAATTGTATTACGGATTGGGTGTGTTGAGAATTTGGTCAGTTGGTATCTTGTATCTATTGTTATTGGAATGACATGTTAATATTGGTGCCTTGTGTAGTTCAACAATTCGAGACAAAATCATTCCTCATGCAACATCATGGTTCACTGGAGAGGCTGTTCATGGGGATGGGTTTGACGATTCAGATGATGATGACGAAGACGATGAGTTATACGATGATGATGATGATGACGACGAAGAGGATGAGGATGATGACGAGGATGAGGAGGATAAGGGCACAAAAAAGGTATATATAGATATAAATCTTTTTAATTAGGATATAATATTTTGAATCTGCAGTATCTTTCAATATGTTTGCTAGAATTTTATACAATTTTAAGCTGTCCGGCCTGCTAATATATGTTTTCAAAATTCAACTGGATTTTTGCAGCCATCTGCTGCATCTAAAGCACGATGATTTAACCATTCTAGTTCCCTTGTTTTCGTTTTAATTTTAAGATTTTTCAAGCAAGCTTCACTCGGGGTTAGTAAGTTATTGTTTGAATTACGTTGGTCAAATGCAGAAAAGGGGTAATGTGCAAGGTGCAGAAGGTCAGCAAGGCGAGCGCACTGCGGAGTGCAAGCAGCAATAGTAACAGAGTTTGCATAGACGGGCTTGTGCTGGTGGCTTGTGCTGCTTGAGAGTCGAGTTTAGGATAGCCCTTGTTATTGTTTGGGGAAGATTATTATCCGCAGGGGTTTTGGGTTTTATTTCTTCTGTTGGGATGCTTTGGGTTGGCCAATGCTGTCTTTGTCCTATAAACACATCTATTTTTTGTTCTTTCTTTTCTTTTTTTTGGGGACGACACATCTTTTTGATTGTTTGTTTTTATTAAATATAGCGAATGCAACATGCTTTTATGATCTTATCACATTTAGAGTCTCATCATCTCTTACATTTTCTGAATGTATTGCTAATGACATCACATCTCTCACGTAGACCGAAGAAAATCTCGTAAGAATCGTTTGGTAGAAATGATTGGATTAGAAGGGATATCTCTGTAAATTCAACGCATATTGAATGTGGATGAGGATTATTTTTTCATCTTGAGGGTATTAAAAGAGGATTGGACAAAAATAAGCTGAACTCATCTAATCCTCCCACTTTGAGGAGGATATGATTGCAAAGTATTAGGTTTTTTTAATGAGTAATACGTCTCGTACCTATAAGTTGGTTACAATTCTTTTTATTTTTTTTAACATACATTGAAAATGATGTCTTATCAAATCAAATCCAATCATGTATACAAAACGAGACTTGATGGGTTAGATTGGATTGGATTACTCGAAGTTTAAGATATGCTGACAGTAGAAGTGAATGATTTTTCATTTTGTGGGGATTAGACAAAATGGTTAGTCAACCTTTCAAATCCTACCATTTAAAAATATAAGTTTGCTTAATTAGTAATTCATTTTTCTTTTACCTTCAATTGAACAAAAATTTCATTTTTCCTCTTGAATCTAGTGAATTATTAAATCCAATTTAATCTTAGATAACAAGCCAGCCCATAAAGTTGATGTGCAGATTAAGAATTGAGCGGTTTGTAGATTTATATAATCATGGTGTAATGATATCACTTGAAGTTCAACTATCAACAACATATAATCCAATTAATAAGTATATAGGGACGTGGAACATGTACACCCCAAGTATATTATATACATACGTTACGTAGGATATCGATTAAAGTAATCGAACAGTTTTTATATGTTGATTAAATTGTCAACAAAATTTGGAGAGATATATTAGTATGTCGAGAACATGGTTTCAAATACTAAATGTAATAATACGATGATTGAAAATTTCAAAAAATATTCCAACAAATTGTATTATTACATTTAATATACCGAACCGTGTTCATGACACATTGAAAAATTTTTCAAAAAATTAGGATGACTAACCCACATCAAGTCGGAGAAAGGACTGCAATAATGGTCGGTTAGAGCAACAAAATTTTTAGGTAGAATTTGTTTCTCCGGTTCACCCTAGCCATCCCCTGATTCGTGAGAAATTATTCTCGAGTTTAAGATAGTCTTTGTTATTTGTGCGTTGGGTTGTATTTCTTCTGTTGGGATGCTTTGGTTTGGAATTGGATTGCATCCAGATCTAAATTGTAGGGATCTTAGGAAATCTTCAAATCTTAGTCATTCATCGTATATCATGAGTTTAAAATTAAACACAAATAGTACATGACGAAAACTGACCGTACATGAACGGTTAAGATGTGGAGATCTCTAGGATCCACACAGTGAGAGGATCCTTTTTCCTTTGGGTTGGCCAATGCTGCCTATGTCCTAAGAACACATCTTTTATTTTTATTTTTTTTTTGGGACGACACATCTTTTTTATTGTTTGTTTTTATTAAATTTAGCGAATGCAACATGTTTTTATGATCTGGTCTCATTGATAATCTCATCATCTGTTACATTTCCTGAATATATTGCTAATCTCTCACGTAGACCGAAAAAAATCTGATGAGAGTTGTTTGGATTGAATTAGAAAGGATAACTCTATAAAGTTTAATGCACGTTGAATGTGAATGAGGATTATATTTCATCTTGAGGAGATTAAAAAAGGATTAGACAAAAAAAAAAAAAAAAAAAACTCATCTAATCCTCCCATTTTGAGGAGGATATTATTGGAATGATAAATTTTCTTTCTAAGTAATACTTATCATACCTGTAAGTTGGTTACAATTTTTTCATTTCTTTTAACATACCTTGAAAATGGTGTCTTATCCATTCTAATCCAATCATGTAAATCAAACGAGACTTGATGTCTCATATTGGATTGGATTACTCGTAGTTTGAGGTATCTTGAAGCTAGAGGTGAATGATTTTTCATTTCGCATTTAGTGAATTGTGTTTGAGTAAGAAAATAATGATGCAATGTGAGCTTTGACTACACAGATTCACGAATAATTTAGATGAAATTCCATTACAACAATGGAAGATGATGAGAGAGAGAGAGAGGGAAGAGAGAGAGAGAGAGAGAGAGAGAGAGAGAATGTAACTCTGATCAATTCATTCGTCGTGTCTAACCTTACCACATGTGCAAAGGTTTCATTGTAATCTATCCCAGGCTTTTGTGCATAGCCTTTTGCAACAAGCCTAACTTTGTTCTTTTGAACTGAGCCATCTAAATTCAACTTTGTTTTATATACCCATTTTACCCCAATCACAGGCTTATCAAATAGTCTCCTCACTAATTCCATGCTTGATTCTTCTCAATCATACTCATTTCATTCTCCATTGCCTTCTTCCATGCTTCATCATGTGCAGCTTCATCATAGCACTCAGACTCAACAATGCACAAATGACATCTCTTATAGATCTCACTCAAGTTCCTGTACCTTAGTGGAGTGTCATCATACTGAGATATGGCAACTATACTAGCTGATTCACTAGTGACAGTAGCTAGAGAGTTTTCAATTTGAATTTGAGAACCATCAGAACCTTCATGGATTCAGAACCTTCATGGAGAGTTTTCAACTTGTTCCATGGATTCAGAACCTTCATCAACTTCACTCATTTTTGGATATTCAATTGCAGATAATGGGATGCACACTTCCTTGACTTTATGTTTCTCCCAGTCCTAGTTGCCATTCTCATCAAAGATTACATCCCTATAAAGTATCACCTTATGAGTTGCAAGATTAAGCACTCTATATCCTTTCTCACAAGCACTATATCCAATAAAGATACAAATGACACTTGTCTCTTGTAATTTATGTCTCAGATTTCTTGGAATGAGAGAATAACACACTGAGCCAAATACTCTCAGATGTTTAATCCCAGGTTTTCTTCCATTGAACTTCTCAAAAGATGTAATATTCTCCAATACTTTTGTGGGACATCTGTTTAGCAAATACACAGATGTGTTCACTACTTCCTACCCCAGATATTGTATGGAAGTTCTTTCTCATGAAGCATGCATTTAGCCATCTCCACTATGGTTTTGTTCTTCCTCTTTGCAACTCCATTATGTTGTGGAGAATATGCAATAGTGAGTTGTCTTTCTAATCCCAAAGATTCACAGAACTTCTTAAACTTATTTGAATTGAACTCTCCTCCTCTATCAGTTCTCAATTTCTTCACAGGGTATCCACTTTGAAGCTTTACCATAACCTTAAGTAGTCATCTATGAATGTAATGAAGTACCTGTTTCCACTCATTGTTGGAATTTGCATAGGGCCACAAACATATGAGTGTATTAGTTCAAGTGGCATTTTTGCCTTCCATGTTGACTCCTTTGGGAATGACTCTTTGTGATTCTTTCCCAATACATATCCTTGACACACACCTTCACTGTTATGCATCATAGGTAACCCAAGAACCATATCATGTTCTTGTAGTTGCTTTAAACTCTTGTAATTTAGGTGTCCAAACCTTCTATGTCACATTGTAGCACATTGATGTATATTAACTTTTAGAACCAGTTGATCATTGGACCTACATACTAGTAGAAAGCACTTGTTCCCTTTTTCTTCACACTAACCACCAAGTTTGTCAGTGTTCTATCATAAAAAATGTCCACCTTATAATCACTAAATACAAGAACATACCCATGCTCAATCATCTGTCCAACACTAAGTAAATTCTTTGCAAGTCCAGGAACCAATATAACTTCCTTTATATATATATATATATATATATATCTCCCTTCTCAGTGTCAATGACTAGTGTTCCTTTCCCCTTTACATCCACTAGAACTCATGTGCTAACTTGCACCTTTGCTTTAATGTTCCTGTCAATATCCATAAGCAAATCCTCCCTGGATGTCATATGATTACTACATCCATTATCTATATACTAGATATCACTCACAGCTTTCACTTTACTTGTTTTCTTGGCAAGAAATAGGTTTCCAGGTTCTTCCACTTTATTTGCAAAATTTCCCTGCTGAACATTCTTGTTGAGATTACAGTTCTTGGCTACATGACCAAGTTTGCCACACTTGTGACATTTAATTTTCCCTTTCAGCCAACAGTCTCCATAATGGATTCTATCACAATATTTGCAAGCACTTCCAGTGTTGCCAAGTTCATTCTTTGTTCCTACAGTGGACTTATTATTCCACTGTTTTCCTTTAAACCTGAAATTCTTCTAAAATTTTGTTCCACCAGTATTGTTATTTTGATTACCAAATTTACCATTCTTGGATGAGATATTCATACTAGCAAATGCACACTCAGTACTACTTTCTCCATGTCTAGTTAGCCTTAGTTCATACATGTTCAATATAGCAACCATATCTTGAGCATCAATTACTTCAATATATTTAGTATTCTCTATAACATAAGCTATACTATCATAAGTTTTAGGCAAACTGATCAATAACTTTTGCACAACTCTCTGATTACTAAGATCTTCTCCATAACTCTTCATTTGATTGATCAAATCAAACAACCTAGCCAGATATGCAGCTAGAGACTCATCCTCATTCATACAGGTATATTCAAAATCATGACGAAGACTTTGTAATTTCACAGATCGTACTTATTTGTCTCCAACGAATTCTTGCTTCAAAATATCTCATGCTGCCTTTGCAGTTTCTTGATTTGCGATGTGTGGAAAAATATGATCTGATACAGCTCCTTGAATGATTCCAAAAGCCCTTGCGTCCTTGACTAGATTTTCATGATGCAGTTTCTTCTCCACCTCTGTAAGCTCGTCCTCTTCCTTCGCCGGAGAAACAAAACCCATCTCAACAATACTCTATAGTTCATGTGATTGAAAGATCGTCTTCATTCAAATTTGCCAGAAATCAAAATTCTCTTCGTTGAATATCAGAGCTTGAAGCTCCCATTCGCCAGAACCAACCATGTTAGACTTAGATCACACCTCTCTTACTAGTTTCTCTGTAACAAGA